GGAGTTGAGATCTGATGATCCAGGTTAGAAACCAGCCCAAGCAGGAAAGTCTATGAGACTCTTATTTCCAATTAACCACCAAGAAGCCAGAAATGGAGGTGTGACTCAAGTGGTAGAGTGCCAACCTTTAGTGCTAGATCCTAAGTTAAAGCCCCAGTACTGACCACCACCTCAGCCCATCCAAAAAAATCCAAGAGTAAATACACTTGAGATCTATGTTTTATTGTACTCAAGTTAAACATCAGCTTTTTAAAAAATCTCTCTCACACACACACACACAAATTATATATAGAGAGAGAGAAAAAAAAAGAGAGAGAGAGAGAGGGAGAGAGAGAGAGAGAGAGAGAAAAGTAGCCAGGCAAGCCAGGCAAACATGGCTACACCTGAAATTCTAGCTACTCAAAAGGCTGAGACCTAAAGATCCATCATAGTTCTAGGCTAGCCCAGTCCCTTCCCCCTCCAAAAAAAAATCTCTAAGATAACCAGGGATAGGAGATTGGGGAGAAGCAAGGCTAGAGAAATGGCTTAGAGCATTAGCCTGGCCAGTAAAGTCCTGAGTACAAAAGAGAGAGGGGGGGGAGGGAGGGAGAGAGGGGGGAAGGAGAGAGGGAAGAAGGAAGGGAAGGAAGGAAGGAAGGTAGGAAAGGAAGGAAGGAAGGGAGGGAGAAGAAAAGGAAAAGAAAAAGAGGGGGAAGGGGACTAGGACTGTTGAGTGCTTGCCTAACATGTGCAAGGCCCTGGGTTCATTCCCTAATAAAAGAAAAGAAAAAAAAACTAATGTAAAAGAGTACTGGTAATGTTGGTACACCTATAATTACAGTTACTTGGGAGGTGTGGCGATTGTGAGGATTGAGTTTGAGGCCAACCCCAGGAAAAATGTTAGCAAGATCCATCTTAACTAACAAGCTAGGCATGGTAGCATACATCTGTGCTCCCAGCTACACGGAGTTGGTTCAAAGCCCAAAAACTCAACACGCTATGTAAATAATAAACTAAAATATTTTTTTAAAAAGAGGAGGGAGACTATGGATGGGGCTTGAAGGACAGAGTCCTCCCTCGGAGGTACAAGAGCAAGCATTATAAGTGGTGAGCTTATAAGAAAAGAAACCAAGAGTGCCAGGGAAGTAAACCCAGGCAGTTAGCCCACAGGTGGGGAACGATGGTCCACACTCACTGAGAATGCATTACATAAGAGCTTTCATGTGGATTAATTCTGTTCTTTCTCAGAGATCTCTACCATGTAGGACTGTCTTAGCCACATTTTCCATTTTCCATAATTGAGGTTTAAGGAACTTAAATGATTTCTTCATGATGGTTCAGCAAGTGAATGCCAAATCAGGTATGGCAAAACTTGGGAGGTTGAATCTGAAATCTGTGCCCTTAAGCAGGATCAGCAGACTATTTCTATAAAAGGCTAGAGAATAAGCATTTCAAGCTTTGTGAATTAGTCTCTGTCAATACTACTTAGCTATAATATAGAGTGAAAAGAGCAAAAGCTGGGTACTGCTGGCTCAGGCCTATAATCCTAACTACTCAGGAGGCTAAGATCTGAGGATCATGGTTCAAAGCCAGCCCCAGCAGGAAAATCTGTGAGACTCTTATCTCCAGTTAACCACCAGAAAACTGAAAGTGACCCTGTGGCTCAAAGGGGTAGAGTGCTAGTCTTGAGCAAAAAGAAGCTCAGGGACAGTACCCAGGCCTTGAGTTCAAGCCCCATGGAATGGCAGGGGCAGGGGCGAGGGAGGAGAGATAGCGGGGGAGGAAGAAGAGCAATGGATACTTAAATGAATGAGCTGAATTTACAAAACAAAAAGCAAAGGGCCAAATTTGGTCCAAGCATTATAGTCTATTGACCCTTGTCTCAAACTACTTCCCATAGTCTGAAGTGGAAAAGCCTGAGTCAGACTAAAAGCACCTGAGAGAAGCTAATTCCTGACTTCCACATTTATATGGAAAGATAGCACAAGGCATCCAGAATAAGTACAGGCTGTTAGAACTCCGATTAATAATGAAAAAAATGTAAAAATATTCCCCACGCTACCCAGAGAAGACAGCAGAGAAAAAAGGTGGGAAAGTGAAAAACATTCAAAACCCCCACAAAAGATCCACTTGTCTTTCATCTTTGAAGCCAGATTTAGAATTTCATCAACACAGTTCTTTGCATCACTTTATGTGACTGTAAGAAGAGTAAAGTTTAAAAGCTTTGATTTAACATGATTTATTTTGAAAATGATTAGCCAGACAGAGTTTTCCTGTTTGGATCTTTTTTTCTTTTTCTATTTCTTTCTTTTTTCTTTTTCTTTTTTTTTTTTGAAGGTCATGGTGCTTGAACTCAGGGCCTGGGCACTGTCCATGAGCTATTTTGCTCAAGGCTATCACTTTGAACCATAGCACTACTTCCAGTTTTCTGGTGGTTCATTGGTGATAAGAGTCTCATGAACTTTCCTGCCTGGGCTGTCTTTGAACCATGATTGTCAGATCTCAGCCTCCTGAGTAGCTTGGATTACAGGCATGAGTCACCAGTGCCTGGCTAGGATCTTTATTCTTACTGACCTTTGGTTTCTTAAGGGTAAGAAATCATTTGCCTCGATTCTTGTTGCTGATGAGGTTTCAGGCTCCAGAGCTCAGAGCCTAAGCAGGGCTTCGAAGATCCAAGTGGTACTGAAAATTGAGAGCTCAAAGGATTTGGAAGTTCATTCACAGTTTCTGCCCACCCAAGGAATGGGCAAGTGAGGACAGGTCAGGCAGTTCTTCCCACTGCTTAAGGACCACCATGATGCTCTGGGAACCCACCCCCTCTCCAACACTAGCCAGGTATAAGTATATTGTAGGATCAGTGTCAATAGTATATTTGAAAGAGAGAAATATTGTTGTGGTTGCTATGTAGCCCAAGCCAGCCTCAAACTCGTGATCTTCCTCTCCTGGCCTCAAGTGCTAAGATTATAGGCCTATATCACCATGATAGTCAGGAGAAAGAATCTGAGGAAATGTGTTGTTGAATACCAGTCTCTTCCTACCAACCCAGCTGATTTTAAAAGGAGGGGAATCTAGCGTCAGCCAGGTTAGGAGTCTACAAAAAAATCAAGCTACCATGGAAAGAGATTTATGGTTCAAGTGGATCAGCACCAGCCAAGGGAGAGTGCAAGTTCGAAACCCAATACCAACCCTAAAGAAGTTAAGCTACCGGTCAAACTAGACAGGGCTGTTCCTCCACTTGACCACACTGAATTAACAAGATCAACCCATTGCTTGTGTGTCCTGGAGCTGTGCCTTGGTTCCTTCTTTATTTTTAGGGAATTGTTTGATGGTTGGGAACTGGGCCCTGCTCTGATTCTGCAGATGATAGATTCTGAGATTTTGAGTTTCTGGAGAGAATCCAGCTCACTCCTTCTGCGACAGAACACTGCTGAAAGTGAGATGTCTGGTGCTCCAAGTCCTCACAGAAAGGGTTGGCTGTTTAGGACATCCAGTAAAAAAAAAACAAACCCAACACACACACCTGTGAAGATACAGCTATGCTCCCATGCCCCACAATGGGCGAAATGAGGGCAAGCTGTGCCTTGAACCTTGTCAGACAGAGTAGATGAGTCAGCTTTGTCCTTCTTAGACATGAACACACCGGGGTGGGGGGCGGGAGGGCAGGGCTCTCCTTCACTTCAGGAATCCATGTACATTGTTGGGGGGAAACGGGGAGAATGGCAAACCTCAAACTTGAACCCACATGAGAATTCCAAGAAAAATAATAATAATAATGAAGTTCTATACCTAGAACCCTTGGAAAAGGAGAAAAGTGAGTACATTTTGTGCTTCCTCTAAATCCATGGTTCTAAAACTTTGCTGAGCATCAGAACTGCCCTGAGGCTGCTACCCACCCACAGCCTCAGCTGACTCAGCTGGTGCGTGTGGACCTAAGGTCATGTATATCTAAGAAGTTCCCAAGGAGCACTACTGCTGCATTCATTCTGGCTCCACCCCTTTGGGAACAGCTACTCTCTGGAATCCCTTCTGTGTCACCCTGTCTCAGGATTTCAGTCACAGGCAGAAATAGTATCCAAGTCAGCCCCTTGATCCCCTACCTGCTCTGCCCAATATTGTAGCCACTAATCATATGTGGCTCTTTAAACACACATTTAAATTATTCAGAGATAAGCAAAGATTGGACATTGAGGTCCTTTGCTCAGCAGCCCACCTAAGTACTGGATTTGAAGGCAAAGATAGAATACGTTTTATCACAGCAGAAAGATCTTCTGGGCAACACTGTTCTATAAGAAATCTGAAAATTTGGGGCCAGGTGCATGCCTCAGGTGATAAGCACCTGCCTAGCCAGTTTGAGACCTTGTGCTCAAAGCCCAAGACTACAAAAAAAATAATAATAGAACAGTAAAATAAATAAAACTCTAAAAATCATCTCTCTCCTCAAAGTTTTCCATTAACCTCATTGCATTACCGTGACACACCAAATTCCCCAAATTCTTTCACTAATATCAGAAATGACATTGCAACTCCTCCCTCTTCTGTAGTGACTCAGTAGCCCACCTCACCCACCTTTTCCCATCAACTTATGGAAATACACAGTTTTATGCAAAATGAAAAATGTATCCGTATCTTCCCATCACCTGTCTAGTAAGACTCACCCCAAAAGTAATAAGGGTCTGAGAAAACTCATGATCTCTGGATCAGGTTGACAGAGCTGATGGATCTCTGGATCAGATTGGCAGAGTCAGCAAGAATCCTGCAATGCATGCTAAAAATCTGAGTGGCATTGAGTGGGTCCGTCGGAGGCAACACTGTGGAAGGTAAGGACAGACTTGAACCAAGAGAGGACAAGGACCAGCTCAGAATCCTAGGAAAGCACGAGTCCCAAGTACAGGACACAGCTGTCAAAACTGGCATCTGCTTTTCCATTCTAGAGGAGACAGTTGGAACCACTGCTACAGTGAGCTATTTGAGTGCCCTTCCCTAAACAGATGAGTCTAACTCTGGTTAATCCCTCTTTACAGATCCGGCTGAACAGCAGGGGGCTGATCTACTCTGTGGGTTTACTCTTGGCCTCTGTCTTTGTCACGGTAAGTTGGCAGCTTTCTTTCCAAATTCGCATGTCCAAATGAGCTTGACCTCCTGGTAAATGGGGAAAATAGACATGTAGATGTCATATCTCCTAGCTAGCTGCTGCCCACTGCATTTTCCCTGCCTTGCTCCCTTTCTGAAAGGAGCCAGCCCTGCTCTCCAAAGCCTCCAAAATGTTTAATAAGCCTACAATGTTTATGGAAGACAAAGAAGAGGGCCAAGGTTCTGGCTCAGTGGTGGAGTACTTGACTAGCAGGCGTGAAACCCTGGATCCAATTGTTGAAAAAAAAAAGCAAGAAGAACTTCTCACTTTTTATGCAAGCTAGCCATTGTAGGGTAGATTCCAATGAACTGGTTCTCCCAGGTTACAAAACATTTTCCTCAATCCGTGCATTTGACCAATATGCGGCGACGAAGAATATATGTTGTACCATTCCAGTCACTGCTGGGGCCAGTGCATCCATTCATATAATTTAATATTCTCTGCCTTACCTACATGTTTGGTGGAAACAAATTCATCTGTTGGTGTACAAGTGTGCAATTGAATGTTGGCTGTCATTTTTTAACCTGAATGTGCAGAGAAGTGGAAAATCAGAAGGGCAGACGGAAAGCAAGAAAAATAATTTTGGATGTCAGAGAGCAGCGGTCAGAAGAAACTTGAGACTCCACCCTGAGTGTTTTTAGGGAGGAGAAGCAGACCAGGGTTTAGAAGCAGCCAAGGGGGCAAGGACAGTTTCTTCACCTGCGGGTCCATTGCTGGGAAGAAGTTCACGCATAACAGAGGAACCATTAGGCCAGGACTCCACCTGAGAGATACCTCTGAGTCCTCCTGGAAGAGTCAGGCCCTGTTCTGGCAGATACAGGAGGCCTAGAAACCATGCTGAACCAGTACAAAGAGAGCTACAAAGTGGTCTTGTCATTTTTTTTATAAAATACTTTGCCACCACCTGCATGTTCTGGCTTCCTCTCCTTTTGATGTTCCCACCCTTCTCCAAGCCCTAGGGCTTGAACTCAAGGCCTGGGTACTGGCCCCTAGCACTTTTCACTCGGGGCTGACACTCTTACCACTTGAGCCACTTCTACGCTTTGGGCTTTTACTGGTTAATTTGGAGATAAGAGTTTCACATTTTTTTTTTTTTTATCCAGGCTGGCCTTGAACTATAATCCTGAGATCTCAGCCTTGAGTAGCTAGGATTACAGGACTGAGCCACTGACAGCCAGCTGAGATATAGGTTTCACAGGCTGAGAGACAGCACTGTGCCCCTTCCCGAAGTCACTCCTCCTGGTGGCCTCTGACCTTTTCTGTATGTTGCAGGTGTTTGGCGTTCACCTGAACAAATGGCAACTAGATAAGAAGCTGGGGTGTGGGTGCCTCTTCCTGTATGGCGTGTTCCTGTGCTTCTCCATCATGACGGAGTTCAATGTGTTCACCTTTGTGAACTTGCCCATGTGTGGAGACCACTGATCCTCCCGGCCATCTACAGAGGCCCAGGTCCTTCTTTTCTGTGCAATATGAGACCCGGCCGCACCCCGAGTCACATGGGCCCCCAGGGCTGCGGCATCCGTCTCTCCCGTGCTGTCCACAGGCCTCCGCTCATATCCTGGTGGCCCAGGCTCCCCCTGTCACCTCCCTCACGCCCCATCTCCTTGGTCCTACCTCCTGCCCGGCCCCTTTCACCTTCCCGCCTACCCTTCCTTGCCTGGTCCTTGTGAAGACATCCAGCATCCACGTGAATTTTCAAGCTCCACTTTGGAACAGTGACTGAGATTTTAGAACAAAACTGGCTGCTAACTGGCCCAAGCCAGGCACAATTTACTACAACTCCCTCCTCCTTTTTTAAGTTATTTGATGGAAGACTACCCTAATTTATGACCCCGAGACTGCTGAAGAAAGAGAGGAGAGGGTCCATGGATGGTGCAGTATTTAGGACTGTTTTGTTTGGAGGTGATTCCTAGCTTACTGGGTTTAGAGGGTTGTTTTATTTGGGGGGGTCCCCCTTTTGTTACTTGCCTTCCAGAGATCGAGGACTTCCCTTGTGTCTTCTTTCACTGGGCTCTGGCTTAGTCGGTGATCTGCAGGTTATACTGCGAAGCTCCTGGTGGGGAACTCCAGGTGTATTGGAGAGTGCATGGATTTCGCACTTACTTCACTGGGCAAGGCCACTAGAAACGAATGCATGCCATCCCCCCCCCAAGGGTACCTCCACCTCACCAATGTCCTGCGGACATTACCTGGGTGGGGCAAGGGAGACACAAGGTGATGGAAGAAGAAAACCCACTTCCTACACGTTCACTTTGAGCATCTCTTCCTCACTAGGTTCTTTCTAGTTTTTCAAGCAATAGCTCTAGCCTGCCAGAGGCCTCTTGACACAGAGGCCCTGGCTAACTGTCCATCTGCGAGGTGCCAGGCAGCCAATGACAGAAGCCTCCCCCCCTCCAGCCTGTGAGTCTTTGAGATATGCTCTTGTTGCTTGGCACGTGGGGTGACAGGGAGTGACGTAGAGGCCACTACTAACTTCCAGGCAGGAGTTACAGACACTGGTTTCTTGGAAAATGGAGAGAAGCGCATTTTGCACACAGATGTCGTCAATTAAGTCCCAATTTGTCACTTGGTATTGAGTACACTGGACCCTGACGGCTGGCTCTCGGGCAAACAACCGTCCTTCCTCGTCGGATGCTACCACCAACTGGCCCGGCTCCACCCCTCTCCTCCCAGAGGGATGGCCAGAGAAGGAGAAAGCAGAAAATGAACACCTTGGAAACCATAGAATGTGTTAATAACCACAGACTTGCTCAAGGGCATAAGTTATTGTGAATGTTCTGCCAATCACTGCTCAGCAGCCCTGCTAGATTTTGTATGATGCTGAATTATTATGCAGATTAATTCCACCGAGTTGAGACCTACCCATGCTTGTTACACTTGTATTTATTGAAACTGTGGATTCTTGCCCGCCCGTGCTGTCCCTCCCTCGTATTTCCTTTAAGCACTGATCACTTATCATTCATTTGGTATGGTTTTTTCCAGTCCCTTGTACACATTCTGGTATGAATTGTAAAAAAAAATAATAATAACAATAACCTGCTACAAATTGGTCGAATGTTTCTGTCTAGAGTGCAAACCAAGGGCAGTATTAGCCCAGGGCACACCTGGCCAACCTAAGACCAGGAGAGGAAATCACCAATTTGGGCTCTCAGAGCTAAGACACACATTGATTCTGTTGCACATTTTGCACTGGGTTATGGCGATTGTTTTCTTGGATGGATAGTGTAAAATAAACTTCTCTGTTCTGTATCCTTCCTTGGTCAGTGCGTCTTATTTTCTCTCATGGAATGTTTTGTTTCACAGCCAGGAGAATGCACAGAATGTAGAATGATTGCAGTCACTGTCTTGGCCAGTTATTTACATTTCTGCTCTTTCTGGATTGGCTTGCCTAAAAAAGCTGGTGTATGTATGCGTGTGTCTATATACACATATACATAATGTATGTATGCAGATACACGTGTATATATATACATTCAAAAAGATCCTATATTACATAGATACATATATATGATCATATATACATATATGTGTATCTATGTACATATGTGTGTATATATGTGTATATATGTCTGGCACATTGCAAAAAGCAAATGACAAGTTGTATGCTCACTCTTGGACCTCTAGTCCTATTCATAGAACTGTAGAACCCCACCTGTCATAGTATATACATGGCATTATATTGGAAATCCTTTCTTTCAGGTAAACCTGAGGGGAAGAATATCAGTCTTGATGTTGACCTTCAGCAGTGTTCAAGTTTGCCATCCTGATTTTAATGTTTTCAATCATGAAAATTAGGCGCTCCCCTCATAAATGATTCCATAAAAGAAACAGTTGTACAGAGTTGTGATAAGCCAGGTTCTGATCCTATGAGACCCTCAAAAAATGATTACCTAGATCTAAAATTAGTAAACAAGCCACACTTCACCTGATTTGTAACACAACTAATCTACAGGAATCAGAAGACAGATAGCTACTAATTCATAAAACCAACGTTAGTGAACTGTTCCCCTCCCCCCCCCTCTCTCTATATATAAATACTCCCAAGGGATGGGGGAAAAAGTAAGTACTTACATTTGTTTTTTAGTATCTTAGAGGTTTACTACTATATTTGTGTATCTTATAAATATAAGTTTGAACATGGATTACAGTATTTTCACTGCTGTTGTTGGTATTCACATTGCTCAGATACTCATTTATATTTATATTATTTGTATTATGTACTATAGTATTTCATTAGATTAGCTTTAGTTAGTTGTTCTTTGTCTTCAGGAAAGACATTTTATCAGAAGCTTGATTTAAAACCAAATACAAGCCATGGACCAGTGGTTCACACCTGGAATTCTAGGTGCTGAGTAGGCTAACATCTCAGGATCACAGCTTGAAGCTGGCCCCAGCAGGAAAGTCTGTGAGACTCTTATCTCTAATTAATCACCCAAGAAGCCTAAAGTAGAGCTGTGATTCAAGTGGTGAAATACTAGCCTTGAATATAAAATCTCAGGATCAGCACCCAGGTCTTCAGCTCAAGCCTCATGACCAGCACACAACACACACACAAAATTTTCTGTGAAATCTTTAGAAACTGCACTTTCAATTTCTTAAAGTAAAACAATCCTGGCACAGGTTAGATTCTGTTCTCAGCCATAATGTCTGCCAATCTAGAAAATCTAAGAAATTCCTTTATGAAATGAGAATTTAGCGTATTTCTGTCTGACTCTCAGCCATGCCCAGTTAACTCTTTGTCATTGGAGGATATGATTTCCCACATGTCAGCTAGCTGTTGTTACAAAATTGCTGATGGTTCCATTTTTACTATTTCTGCTGCCCTGGAACTTAAGAATGGTTAGATCTTGACAAAGTCACTAGATACCCTGAAAAGCAGTTTTCTGAAATGGCTGGTTTTAAATTTGGAGACCATGGTTACACACACACACACACACACACACACACACACAGACCTAACACAAAAATTGTACCAAACACCTGTACCAAACACATCTATAGGAAAACAATCCAAAAGATTTTTGAAAGTTTCAAAATAATCATCTGTCTATTACATAACTACAGGAATGGGCGATTGAGCAATGTTTCTCTGCTAAATAAAATCTTAGTTATTTATCGTACCATCAGCCAGAGATGTCAGCACTTTTGAGATGCTGAAGTGAGGAGCTGAGACGTTGGGGAGAGAAGATTGTAGTGTGTGTGAGGTAAGTCATGCCATATCCCAGAGCTGACAGCATGGCAACTCCATGCTTCAGAACACAGGGTAGAGAAAACGCCACCAGCATCTTCAAAGATGACTTATTGTTGCATTCAGAGCATTTATTTACTTAATAAAGCATACCCAGGAGTTTCATGAACAAGTTTAAATAAACCTTAGTACAGCAAACTTTCTTGCCAAGTGGCAGATTTGAAACATAGTGAGTATTCACAACTAATTCCCATTTCATTCCAAGGCTGAGTTTTGGCAATAAGGAAGATTTAAGACTGATTTTGTCATCTATGCCATGGAAGGGGTTTTCTGCTTGAATTAATTTACATAAACATATGTATGTCTACATTAAATTGCTTTAACTCACAGCTTATCTTATTTATCTAAAACTAGATTTGGTGATGTTACAGCTTCTGGTTTGTTGGCATAATCAACCCAGTAATTTATTCCAGAAAACAACACACAAAACTTGGAATAAAATATGGTAAGGAATTTCAGAATCCATGCAGTTGCTTTGTGAGAACTTCTGAGATATTGCCCATTGGCCATGCTAAGAAGTGGATGTAGCCCAGCACAAGTACTTTCATACCTTTAATCCTAGCTACTCAGGAGGCTGAGATCTGAGGATCATGGTTCAAAGCCAACCCAGACAGGAAAGTCCATGAGACTCTTATCTCCAATTAACCACCAGAGAACTGGAAGTGGTGCTATGACTCTAAGTGGTAGAGTGCTAGCCTTGTGCTCAAAAGCTTAGGGACAGTGCATAGGCCCCTGAGTTCAAACCTCATGACCAATAACAACAACAAAAAAGAAGTGAATGAAGGCATTTGCAGCATAAAACAAGTATTATTGAGTTCTTTCAGGAAAAAAAATAACTCCATCTCCATTACTGATACATCAGATTTCATCTCTGTCAATGATTGGTGAAAATGGATTCACTTTTCAAATGTGAGATACTAAATGTGAATTCCAGTTATCATTGATCTGAAGCAAAATGCCCCCATGCTTTATTCTTAGGAGAATTTATTTTGTCTGGTGTTAGATTTCTAATACACCAATCCCATCATCTAAAACTTTATCATCATTTCTGGTGAATTTGTTCCTTCCAGTTGCTTAAATATTCCACTCAACTTCTCTATAGAAAAAGTCACTTTAGGGCTGGGAAGGTGGCTCAGTGGTAGAGCGCTTTCCTTGCATGCGTGAGGCCCTGGGTTCGATTCCTCAGCACCACATAAGCAAAAAGAAAAAAGCCGGAAGTGGCACTGTGGCTCAAGTAGTAGAGCGCTACCCTTGAACTGAAGAGCTGGGGGACAGCACCCAGGCCCAGAGTTCAGGCCCCATGACCGGAACGCCCCCCACTCCTAAAAAAAAGGAAAGAAAAAGTCACTTTACCTGCAAGTATCCTTCATTGGGTCTCAATGTTTTCCACCTTTTGTGTGCTTTAGATTTACTCAGAGATTTACTAAAATGCAGATTTCTGGGCCTCACATCTCAGTTTCTAGACTCAGTAGGGATAGTCCAAAGAAGCTACATTTTACCAATATATATCTACTAATTACCAATTCCTGTCTACTAATGAATCGCTAATGACCTAATCTCAATGTGCTACTCCAGTGCAAATTGATCTTGCACAGATGATTCCTTTCTCAGAAAAGAAACTAAAAGCTTGCATCAGAGTAGACTTCCAAGTATTTCGGGCACTCACCTGTAACCTACAATGGTGTTGCCTAGGAAATAAGAGCAGAACATGCCTCAGATCTGCCTGAGACTCAGAAATCTCCATTACAGATCATGGCCAAGAGTCAGCTCCTGGGCAGAATGTGATTAAGACTCTCAGGAAAGGTAGGCATGGCTTATCCCTATGACAGCCTTCCTTTGGTCCTAGGCTCTCGGCGTATCTACAAGAATTCAAAAAGGTGTGTTACAGGGCTGGCAGTGTGATTCAAGTGGCAGAGTGCTTGCCTAGCAAGGACGAGGCCCTGAAAGCTCAGCACTGTTGATGCATATAGACAAACAAGATGGCATGGTAACTGCCCCATTTTTATGAAGGCCATTAAAAATGTTGCTCTGAGTCCAGAAATGAGTTAAAGGCTCACAAGTATAATCCAAAGTTAGGGTGGGCAAGGAGGATGAGTTTAGCCTTCCACCCCAGAAGTGGAACCTTCTAGGCTTGGTTCATAGCAAGCCTGCCATGGCATCAGTATGCACTATATCACTCTACAGATGTCCTATCTTAAGAGGGTTTTTAGGTCTTTGTCAACCATGTCTATACCAGATGAGTCATCAAGATTATTTCTCTAGGTTATGTGTCTTCCTTTAGGCTATTTTTGTTCAGATTCTAGAGCATAACAATCACTTGGGCCAACAAAGAAGGTGAGAGGGAAAGAACTACCCTTATTCCTTTAAAAAAAAAACTGTAAAAAATTATTACCTTTAGGGGCTGGGAAGGTGGCTCAGTGGTAGAGCGCTTGCCTTGCATGTGTGAGGCCCTGGGTTCAATTCCTCAGCACCACATAAGCAAAAAGAAAAAAGCCAAAAGTGGCGCTGTGGCTCAAATGGTAGAGCGCTAGCCTTGAGCTGAAGAGCTGAGGGACAGCGGCCAGGCCCAGAGTTCAGGCCCCACCACCGGACCCCCCCCCAAAAAATTATTACCTTTAGTCACACAAGGAGTTGTTATTTAACACAGCAGGTTATGAATATAGTGTATCTTAACCAGTGTCATCCCTTTCAACACGCTCACCCATCTCTCCCCTATCTATCCCTTCCTTCACTCTTCATAATTTTGTAGGTTATGCACTGGATTCTTGTCTGTATTTTCCCCCTCTTCTCTTCTTCATTTGTCCACCCTTTTCCCCTTGGCCCTACCCCACCACTTACAAGTATCCATGTTTTCCCTTATGTGTGGAAGCTAGGTTCAGCTTACAGACTCCTAAGTAAATACATTTGGGTGGTATACAAGTGTATAAAAATGTATTAACTGAAATACACTAGATTAAGGGAGATCTCAGTGCAATCCTTAGAAAGCCTAAACCTGTTCTTTTAAAT